GACTTGAGCCGACGTTGCCACTTACGTGCGACAAGACCGTAGGGGAGTTAGAGGCTGAACTTGAAGAAGTCCAGCTGACTTCATGAAGAAGTCCACGCAAGCACAGGCCCAGGATAGGGGTGGTAGGGTTTCCCAGGGCTATGTGAACAAAGTGTCCCCAACTGAGCGACTTAAACAACAGAAATTGTCCCTCACATTCTGGAGGCTAGGTGTCCAAGAACCTGGTGTTGGTGGGGTTGGTTCCTGCTGAGAGATCTGGGGGAGGAGAATTCCTTCCAAGCCTTCCTCCCAGCTTTGGGTAGTTTGATGGCCATCTTTGGCGTCCCTTGGCTTGTAGAAACATCACCTCAGCCCACCTTCATCCCCACATGGCGTTCTCCCTGTGAGTCTTCACCTTGTCTTCCCTCATGCGCAACTGTTTCCACGTCCACACTTCCCCTTTCTAGAAGGACATCAGACATATTGGATTGGGGCCCACCCCAATGACCTCATTTTGAATTAATTAACTCTATAAAAACCCTATTTCCAAAGAAGGTCACATTCTGAGGTAGCGAGGGTTAGGGCTCCAACATACTTTCTTTCCGAGAGGGAGACACAGTTCAACCCCTGCCGGCTGCTCAGTGCATAGTAGTTCTCTTTTCTCAGCAAACTTCCTTATGGAATAAGGTTAGATACCTGGCATACAGCAGGTGTCCAATAAATGTTTGTTGAATAAATGCATGGATGGATCCTAAGTTCCAGAGTGTTCTGAATTCTTCAGGGAGTTCTCTACTGACCCAGGAAATAGCTCCCTCGCCCTTTTAAAAAGGTGATTTCAGTATATTCAGATCAAAGTATAAAGTTCCTAAGAACAGCTCCAGGCAGATTAAAAAACTTTTTAAAATTTCTCTTTGAATGTGTTCTATGCTGTTCCTACAGCCCGAGAAATGGCAGGCAGGTCCTTCATTCCTGGGAATGCTTTCCTCTGCCACTAAGAATACATTGCTTTAGCAAGGGCTGAAAAACTTCCTCCAGGCATTTGAAAAGAGGTTCCAACAGTGAATAGGGTCTTACCAGAGGAGATGAGGAAGTGCCTGCGGGTAATGGGTCAGGTGGATTCCCACAACCCTGTGTCCCAAGCACCCGCTAATCCAGGAAGCTATAGCCAAATAGAGGAAACCCATCTCTTCTTAATTCTTTGCCCTTCAGGCAGGGGCACCCCCATGCCGTGAACACTCATGATATGCTGGGAATGTTCCATCAGGTACAGCTAAGTGACTCAAAGTCCAGACTCTGGAGCTGGACTTCCGTGGTGCACTCTTGGCTCCAGCATGGTCTCACTATGTGACCTTGAGCCAGTTACTTCTCCTCTCTGTGCCTGAGCAGCCCTGTTGGTCATTTGGGGGCTAAGAATAGTATCTATCTTATGGTCTATGTGATAACATATGTAATACCCTTTGCACGGTGCATTCAGGTCATGTTACTGATTATTTTATTAACTGTTGTTGAGACGCTGCTGATGCTGAGGGTGAAACAGAAGAGATGAATTCTAGTGCCTGGGCTTTAGTAGACTTCCTTATCCGTATGACTGAATAGAATAAGACGAGCCTGTCCTCATCATTCCTGTTAGTGCTTTCTAGAACTCAACCCATCTCTTTCTCTTTGTTTTCTCCCTCCCTTCTTTAACTCTTTGTGATCCCAAGGGCTCAGCCATGGGCTATTTCACTATTCCCCGCAACCCTATGAGACACGTACTCATGCGTAAGGAACCTGAGCCTCAGACAGGTGATGAAGCTTGTGGATGGTGACACTGGGATCAAGTCAGCCACGTCTGACTCCAAGGCCCCAGAATGGGGAGATGGTCTGATAGGGATGAAATTTGGCTTCTGCCTGCAATTTCTCTTCATCCTTAGGACCTCAACACCAAGCTGTCTACCAGATTGGCTTGGATTATGCTCCCATTCTGGGATGGCTTCACCCCACTATCAAGGCCCACCCCCTGCCCGTTGTCACGCTGAACAGGCCCCTCAATCACCCACAAAGGTCACTGATTGATGATAAAGGCAGACTATTAGGACCTGGGATTCTCATCCAGTAGCACTGAATCCTCGTGGGGACCCTGGGAGGAGTGTGGCATCGTCTTCCACTTTATAGGTGAGCAAAGTGAGGCTCAGAGAAGTTCTGTAATGTCTACTGGTCACACATTGGGTCAGAGCTTAGCTCTGGGGTTAGGCCTGCCTCTCTTTCACAGGCATCCTTTCACAGCGCTGCCTGTGTCCTCTGTTCTCCCCCAACCCTTCAGGACAGCTAGCACCAATACCGGCCTCTAGTGCCCTCCATGCGCAGACAGCCAGGGGCCAGAATGTGCTTGGGACCAGCTGGCTTCCGAGGGGGTGAAGACAGCAGCGTCAAGACATCTTCTGCCAGGGGGATGGAGGGCCCCCTGGTTGGGGACCATGTGCCAACGCAGCTTCCTGCAGGGGGAGGTTGGGGCCGGGTAGTCAAAGTCTATAGAAAATTCCATTTTCATCATTCTCTTTTCTTTTTCTTTCTTCTGCTTTTTTTAAAAAAATATTTTATTTATTTATTTTGAGAGATTGAGGGTGTGTGTGTATGCATGGGAGGAGGGACCGAGGGAGAGGGAAAGAGAGAATCTCAAGCAGACTCCATTCTTAGTGTGAAGCCTGGCACAGGGCTCGATCTCATGACCCTGAGATCATGACTTGAGCTGAAGTCAAGAGTTGGACGCTTCACTGACTGAGCCACCCAGGAGCCCCTTTTCTTTCTCTTTAGTGTCGACCATAGATTCCAGAATTCTGTGGCCCCTCTGGGCACCTGACCACTGGAATTCAGAGCCTCCTGAGGTTTTTCCTGTTATCCCTTGCAAGCCCACAGGCAGCAACCAGCTTCCTGGTCATTCTGGACCAGCACGTAAGGGAGACAGCTTGATGGAACAGAAAGAGCTCTGGATTAATTCCTTGGGGGAGCTCTAGAAGTGATTGGCTGTGTGACCTTAGGCAGAGGAATTTACCTCTTTGACCATTAGTCTCTTCATTGGCAAGATGATTTCAACTTCATCAGGTTATTACGAAGACTCAGCTAGAAAATTCGTGTGAAGCAGTTAGTGTGGTGCTTGTCACACTGTCAGGACTCAGTAAAGATGTGCCCACCATTATGATGGTAGAAATGGGGTTGTCATTGGTAACTTGAAACCTTGGTGGAGGTTTCTTCTTGGTGGAGGGCCCGAGAACCAGATGAAACATGAGTGGAGGTGCGGGGGGGAAATGTTCTTTCTCTGTCCTACTGGCAACCATCCCAAATGGCACATGCCCGAGGCCAGCTCAGGAAATGCAGAACAAGTTCCATCATTTGCTCATCGTGGGAAGACAGGGTGTTCTTCAAGCTCACCTGAAGAACTCACACTCACACATACTGCCCGCACGAGGAGTAACAATAGCACGGGTATCCCAGAGTTGCCCTGGAAATACCTTTACAAGAAACAAAGGAAGGCATCCAGATTGCAAGAACGGCTATTTGCATGCATCCTTATGTTTTGAGTTTTCTCTGTGTGAGTTCAGAGGGGATGTGACTCCTGTCTACTGCTCAGGGGCCCAGCCGTGCTGCCATTCCTGGGCTTCAGGGGACTTAGGAATAATCCAGTCCAATGAGCTCATTCCAAGGAAAAATGAAACTCAGAGAGGCAAATGATCTTGCTGGACAACACATACCCACGGGGCCAGAGTCCTCCCTTCGGGCTCCAGTGGCCGACTTCTGTCATCCCTCTCTTACAGAGGCACAATAGCCATGAACAAATGCCCAACGTGCACCTGTCATCCTCCCAGGAGGCAAAGTGGGGGTGGGGAAGGACAATGGATCGTGCCCAGGGAGCCCCCTGAGGTTTCAAGTCTGCTTCCCAATTAAGAGGCCTTTGGAGGGAAACAAGGCGTCATCTCCCACCCTCCACTCCCCTGGATCCCTAAGCCCCTCCTCTAGCTGAGACCCGATCCTGGCAACCAGGGAAAGTCATTCCCTCCGGCAGAAGCCTCCTCTATGTTCCAGAGCAGCCTTTCAGAAGGCAGTGACTGTCAGGGTGAGGTGGGAGAGGTGGGGTTATTGTCAAGAACCGTTGCATTTATGGGGCCTCTTATCTTTATGACAAGAGCTCAGATGAGAGTTGAAATGCAATCACACAGGAAAAGCAACACCCGAACTGAGCGTGAGACCGCGTATCTGATGAGCGGTGGGACCTGCTGTTGGGTGGGGGCGGGGGGAGTCCTTGTAACCTTGAGATTCTCTGAGAAGCCAGAGCCCAATGACATGGGCCTGGGCAATCCGGTGGGTGTACTGGAGCAATTCCCAGACTCCCCTACATGCTCTCCACCCCTCCCCAACTCTGCTGAATGAACGTGGGACCCCCCCAGCAGCCCCAAAGCCACTCCTTCACACAAAATCCCCCCCTCCATCCCTGGAGGCAACTCACAGGAACACCCAAACCACCAGGACCTTCGTCGAGCTGGGCAGCACAGGAGGGCTGCCGGGGTTGGGGGGGGAGACACCCCCCACTTTCCAGGAGGAAAATGTGTCAGAGTCACAGATCTAAACAAACTGCCTCAAAACACAAAAGACCGAACCAAAACAAAGCGAGAAAATAAAACCACCTACATAAGTTGCAAAAAAAGGAGTCTTGGTTCTATTTGTTCTGCAGTAAGTTCATCAACATATACAAAAAAAAAAAAACAGGAGCATTAGAGTAAGAGGAAACAGGAGGCCCCTTGCGGCGGTCAAGGAATCTGCGCCCCCTCCAAGACCCCGGGCGGTTTAGATGCACTGCGTCCTGGGCAGACGTAAGTCTATCACCCAGGCACATAGCTCTTGACCCAACACAACCCGGCTTTGGCTCGCAAGTCCAACGGGTATTTAATCCTCCAAGGGAAGCAGCCTTCGTTCAGAGTCCCTTCACCTGGTCGCTGTGAGCCTAACAGGGCCCAAGAGGCAGCAGGTGCCGTCTCTTCAGGGCGTGCTCAGGCGATGGAAGAGATCTCGCTGTGTTTCCGTACTCGGCAGAAAACAGTCCCGGGGGAGGGACAGCAGCTGCGCTGGCTGCTGGCGTGACAGCAGAAGACCGAGGACATTAGCAGGGCAAAGGCGATCACGGAGGTGAGCACCCACCAGATGACGCCCGGGTAGACAAAGGGCAGAATGAGGACAATGAGCAAGACCAGCAGGATCAAGTGCACGGCCAGGCGCCGGGCGGCCACGCGGTTGGCGTTCACCTCGTCCTGCTCATCCTCTCCCGCAACGCCCGGGTACCCTGCCGCCAAGGGGGCGGAATCTGCCAGTCTCTGCGGACACAGCCGCACCTCTGGCCACGGCCGGCCCAGTAGCCCCACCACGGCCTCCTGGTCGCGCAGGCTGCAGATGAGGCCCCCGGGGACAGAGGTAGCCTGGCGGCACAAGGGGCAGGTGACGGACCAGGTGTTGTCCTGGACACACAGCAGGAGCTTGAGGCAGACGGCACAGAAGGAGTGCTGGCAGCCCAGCAGCTTGGCCGGCCGGGTACAGCTGTAGGGCTCCCGGCACACCAAGCACTCCAAGTCGCCATCCACCGAGCCCCAGTGCCCCCCTGTCGGGCCCGCGGCCTTGGCGGAGGGGGATGTGGCTCTTGCGGAGATGGGCTGGGGCTGCTCTGGGACCGGCGGCTGCGGGATGTCTGCACAAGCCATTCTGGGCTCGGAGTCAGCAGGACCGGGCAACTCGGGGCCTGGGCGTGGACGAAGGGTGACCGCCGGCGCCGCTGGGACCTGGATGCTGTCTGGCCTCGGGCGGGGGGTCTCAGCCTCCCTCGCCTCCTCCTCAGGCGCCTGGTGACAGCAGCTGTTTATCACCCCTTCTCCTGGGGCTGCTCAGCTTGGCTCTTGGCTTATGTCTTCTCCCGAGTTATTATTATTTATTTTCTGGAAACCTAGGGTTAATCAGTAACTCGTGAGCCTGGGGACCTTGAGTTGCCTGATAGGAAGGCCGGAGGGGGGCAGGGCCTGAACTGTGAGTCAGGACTTTCCGGTTGGGACCAGGTGTCTCAGGAGCCCCAGCAAGATGGTACCTGATGAGCTCTCAGATGCATTAGGATCCCCACCCTCTCCTGCCCCCTGGAGCCTTTAAAAAATGCAGATCTCTAGGCCCCAAACCCAAAGACTGCAATCCTCTGGCAAGTCTAGGTGGGATTTAAGAACCTCTGGTCACAGTTAACAGACATCTCTGATCATGATGTTGATGAGGATGGCCGGGAGAACCCACTTTGAGAAATCCCACCCCTAGCCAGATTTCAGACAAAACCTTCCAGAGGTCAAGATGGGTGGACAACAGTTTTGTGCTTTGAGCACATTTGCTGACAGGTGACCTCGTGTAAAAGAGACATGAAGGGGGAAAAAAAAACAACTGAGTGGGTGGCAAGGGGTGGTGGGGCATGGGAAGAAAGCCCGGGCCCACACAGAAAAACCCAAACCCAAACTGCTCACGGGTCTCTCTCGTACCTGCTATTGTAGCCAGGTGCTTCCTTGTCCCAGCAGCTGTACGGACAGCTACGGAGTCACGAGCATCACGCTTGGGGCCTGCTTTGCCTGCACCTATCCAATGACAGGTGTTATTTTTGGGCGTGGGGAACATATGTCCTTGGGGGTCGTAAGAGCCACTGCCCTTTATTTGGGGTTACTGTGAGCCAAGCCCTGTGCCAGGTGGTCTCCTGGGGTCCCACCACAGCCTGTAAGCGAGGCGCTATGAGGCCCGGGAGCAAAGACGGGGTGTTGTCAGGGCAGGCTGGCTGACAGCCTCCCAGGTGAACTCCCATGGGGCCAGGGCCCTGTGGAATCTGCCAGGACCCAAGGTCAGGTTCCCAGGAACTCAGTCTCACCAGCTCACATGGCCTCCAGGCGGCTGACTCCACCTGGCAGGACTCACGCGGAACTGACGGATGTGTGCAGCGTGCAGTTAAGAAAACGGGATCACCCTATGTTGCCTTGACCATCGGAGGGTGGGGTGGCACAGTCCATTCCTTCAAAACATGCCTCATGTCGGCTGCATCGACTCCAGGAGGACGTGCCGAATGGTCCTTTCCAGCTCATGTCACCTGTTGAGGTCCACACAGGGTCCCGCTCTTTCCATCCAGCTCTTTCCTCCACCCCAAGGGGCAGGCACTGCCCTCCTGCTCCACCCTGCCCCACCCCTGACTGGGCTTCTGTCTTGGAAATCCAGTTCCCAAATTCCACCTCTGCCAAGGTGTTTCTTCTCTGCCCTCAGCTTGACCGGTTGTTTCTTCTCACTAATGCTTTCCCCCAAGTCAAGCTGAAGGGGGCCTCGGATCTGACTCTGGGCTTCCATTTTTACCCCATGCCAAGCATCCATCTTGCCTTCTCCAGGGGCCGGTCCTGTTTTTCTTTGAGGCAACCATTTCTGACCACTGTAGTTACCATTCTGAGGAAGGGGAAAGGAGATGAGATTCAGCAAAACCCATCAGCGTATTCCGTCCGTCCTATTGGCTGCAGCCGTTGATTTCCACCCAGGCAAGTGATCTAAACCAAGCCAATGAGATTCAACTCTGGAACTTCCAATGAGAAGCTTCCCTTACTGCTAGGTTTCCACACTGGTGGATGGGCCCCTGGGCCTGCTAGGACCACCGGGTCAGAGAGCCTGTCTGAGAGTAAGGCGAGCGCAAAAGAAAGATGAGAAGAGAGTCAGAAACAGCCCTTATAACATTGTTTGAACGCCTGGATCCAGCCATACCTGCAGCGAGAGCTCTATCTTCAGATTTTTTAGTTATATTAATCTATGAAACCCACCCCTGTTTTCATTCTTCAGCCAGCTCAAGCTGGATTTCTGTCCCTTGCATGAGAAAGTCTTCTGAGTAACATAGCAAGAGATGAAGAGAAGAAGCCTTTACTTGCTGTCGGACGCAGGGTCAAGCATCACAAGACGATCAACCCGTACATGGCCAAGAGTGAACGAACGCCTGTGTGTTCCCATGCTCAAAGGGAATCTGTCTTTTCACTGCTTTGACTCATATCAAATACTACTATTCTGTGTCTGCTAAACCCTGGGAAGGGTTGGGGATGGAGGAGAAAAAATTTGTTGAATTGTATTCTTTTATAATGAGAAATAGAAAATCAGGCGGACAACACAGTGACGTCAGCATGGCTAGTGCTCCCCCCGCCCCCGCACCTCTGCTAGCCAGCTCTAGGGAGAGCGAAATAATCAAAAAGGTTGCTTGCTGGGTGAGCTTGTCATCAGACCAAGGGAAACTATTTATGGGTCGTGTCTAAAAAGGAAAATTTGATATCACTGGGCAACCATCATTAAAATTTATTATGGGGCGTCTGGGTGGCTCAGTTAGTTAAGCGTCTGCCTTCTGCTTGGGTTGTGATCCCAGAGTCCCTGGATGGAGCCCCACATATGGCTCCCTGCTCAGCGGACAGCCTCTTCTCCCTCTGCCCCTCACCCTGCTCATGCTCTCTCTTGCTTATTATCTCTCTCTCTCTCTCTCTCTCTTTCTTAAATAAATAAATAAATAATGTTTTAAAAAAAAGGAAAATATATTGGTTGTAACAGCCCAAATATTACAGGAAAATAGAAAGTAGAACATGGAAGTTCCTTTGACTACTGCTCCTGAGAATGATGGCTTTTCACAGCACATTCCATCGTGTTTCTTGCATCCTGCCATGGTAGTTTGGGAATTTATTTATTTATTTATTTATTTATTTATTTATTTATAATAGTGCAACACAGGGCTTGAACTCATAACCCTGAGATCAAGACCTGAGCTGAGATCAATGGTCGGACGCTTAACCCACTGAACCTCACAGGTGCCCCAGTACTTTGTTTCTTAAAGGTGCTTTGGCTTAACGATCTAGCATCAGCACTGGCTTTAAACTGGACATCCAGCGCTTGTCACTTGACTAGCCATGTGACCTTAGGCAAGTCATTTCAGCTTCATTGAGGCTCTGATTTTAATTTGGTCAAACAGAGACATTAACATTGTAGAAATTGTGGGAGACAGTGCTTAAGCCCCCCACCTCCATTTGACTGTTCAGGGAAGACTCAGTAAGGTAGGCACCTTGCTTTGTAACCGACCTCGATGTCATTAATCTCTCCCAGGGACATGGAGATAAGATGGTTTGGTGATCTCGTTAGCTGGTGCCTCTCAAGGAGGACTGAATATGTGCAGGGATCTGGAGCGTAGCCTGAATCAGCGCTGTCTCAAGGGAAGTACAAAATGTGTCCAGAGACGTAACATGCAAATTCATCTCGGATTCTCAATTCTGCTCTGTGTTATGTTTGTGTTTGCTGTAATATGAAAATATGAAACCTTTGAGTCCTTCCACATCTTCAAACAAAATATATTTGTTTTTTAATTGCTGTACAAATATGAACTCATTTGTTCTTTGTAAAGTCTTTTATTCCCCCCCCTTTAAAGTGCATTTTCTTCTGTCCAGTGGCTTCCTCCAACCCTGTGGCTCTACGGAGCTTGAGAAGTACAGTCTCGAGGGAGATAGACTTCCACAGTCCACTGCCAGTGGGGAAGCCAGAGCCAGTTCTCCTGATGGACCCCCTGGGCACGTCGTGCTGGTAACCACAGACCGACACCCTGCAAAGACATTGCTGATCTGAGCTGAAGGCCTGTTTCAAGTTCACCAGGGGAGGAGTGAGAAAACAGCAACGTCATGAGGTTAAAGTGTTTGATCCATGCCTGGCCTCTGATCTTGGCCAACGCACGGTCGCTCCACATTCCAGCTTCCACCAAGGACTGCGCCCCATTCAGATGCCCCATCATCTTCAGTCCTCTCTGCCCTGAGCTGGCTGGTGTCTCAGCTCACAGCCTTATTCTAGAATTCCTGCCTCTGTGCACATCAGGACCCTGCCCCCTACACCTCCTCCGCCCCCCCCACCTCCCTCCCTCCCTCAGCCCCAAGCATCTGTGGTCTGAAGACAGTGTGCTAGAGGAGACAGAGGAATAGCATTTGGAACAAAGTCACAGTATCAAGATGACGAAGATCAAGTACAGAGGAGAGGGAGAGACGAAGCACCCACTGCGGGACGTTTGAAACTGTGCTTTGCTTTCTTTTACTGTTTTTAAAAAATAATTACATGAAGAAAATCCATGTTTATTTATAGAAAAGGAAATTGCTGATGAGCAAAAAGAAAAAGAATATCAGTAATCAGCAGTCTCACAGCCCACAGAAAACCAGTTTCGAGATCTCCTTTCAGACTTCTGTCTGTGCATACTTACACAAAGAAAGTGTTTGCCCATTACAAGGGGACTCTGTTATTTATATTTTGATAATCTGTATTTTTACCTATGAGTTTATCATGCATTTCTTTCCATATTAATACACGTACTTCAAACATTCCTGAAGGGGGTGGGATATTCTGTCTCATGAATGTACCGTATTTTCGTGAATCAGTTCCCATGAGGACCATGTCTAGGCTTTCCCATTTTCCAGCATTATCAGCAATCCTGGGATGTACATCCCCAAACATGTGTTTTTTGTGTCTGGCCCTTTCAAAGTTTCCATATGTACATGATTTCTCTAGAAGCCGTTTTGGCTGGGGAGCATCTGGTAGGTCAGGTCCCAAACCTAGATCTACGTTGAGTTGTCGATGGCCCTGCTTTAAGCCCCAAAGCCTGGAACTGTCAGCTGATGGGCTGTATGTGGATGAAGCCACTTTTGACCAATTCAGAATCATCACCGTGCCTCTCTCCCCGAGGTTTCAGAAATCAGGTAACGAACCCTAAGACCACATTTTCTTTGAATTCACAGTAATTCTAGGGTCTAGATCCATTTCCCAATGCCACCTCTGAAATTACTTTCCGGTCCCTCCCACTTCTTATCTCTTTGCCGGGCT